ATTCACCGAACCATTTTGCATCACCGACTGTACAAACGGTCCACCACCATTAAACACGCCCTGCCCACCGCCGGAAAATTGTACTGCTGCATGTTCTCCGCCTTCACGGCAACATTTTCCGGCACATTATTATGATTCACTCCATGGGAAAACGAAATTACTTCCATGTAATTGAGATCCATTACACGCAACTCCATGTGGGTTATTCGCTTGATTTAAATCAGCTACAGCTTGTTGATAAGCAGCAGATCGTTAAATTGCGTTATTTGATTTGTCAACGCTAACTTCAGATAGTAAATCTTGAAGAATTCTTGATTTTCTTCTTCAAGCCTCTCCCAAACTAAAAATTAAGTAGTGATAAGTTATATAATCATGAAAATTTTATGAAAAGAGATAAGAAAATTAATTCAAATTGCGATATATACCAAGCTTTGTAAAGATAGGTTCAATGTTTTGTTTCTGATAGAGAATATCCATCGCTTGTTTCTTGTTCATGTAATTCCATAGACATTGTTCTATTAGATTTTGTACCTGAATTCAATTATACCCAAAAAAAAATTATGATTATAGAATTTCAAAGATCGAAAGTAGTAAACAAAAGCAATGAAGAATCAAAAAGTCTTACCTTCTGAACTTCTTCCGGGGAAATCCTTCTGCAATTTCCGGTTGACATTTTTTCTACAAAGAATCGTTAAAATCAAGTAACTGAAAAGAAGTTGCATAATTTTAATCATTGAGAACTTGGTAATGAAGTAAAGTCGCATGTGTGTTCAAGAAGAAGAAGATGACGTCATATAACTCAGACCAGGGTTTAATTCATCTTGAACGGATAATCTCCCATTGAAGCGAAATGATAGAGAAATGTAAAATTGAAATTCTTTTATGAAAATTGACCTAGGGTTTTCAATCGCAGAAACAATAAACAGATAAAATTCATAAAATCGACACAAGGATAAACCTAAATCGTATTGCTATGCATGTGATCTTCTGGGTTTATTTGCGATATTACGAACCTCGAAACCCAGAGAGAGAAGTTTCAGAATTTTGTGTCGTCTTCGTTGTCAAGTTTGCACATTCCAGTTGGCGCCCTGAATTGAAGGAAGTATGAGCGCGATTGATTGCACTTTTGGTTTTAGAAGAAAGACATGAATCTAGAAAGAGAACATATACATGAAACGATTAATCAAGAACAATGAATTGAGTTATGATTTATGAATAAGCATTGCAGTCTGACACAGAGTATTGCGTGTATTCCAGAAGAGAAAGAAGCTTACTTGAGAAATTCGAGATGAATCCAATGAAAACCAGAAAAACAGAAAAGTGAATTGAAACGATTGTTCTTGAAAATATAGGATAAAGATAAAGATTGTTCTTGAATTTGAAAAGAAAAACAGAATCTTGAATTGAAAAAAGTATGCAGGGAGAACTCTTTACGTCATTAGATGACTCGTGTTGGACTCGGAGAAGAACAAGTGGGATTTTATTTTGACTAGCTGGATGTTAGTTATTTCAAAAGGAATTGTCATCAAAACCTTTATCCTATTCAAACAAATTAATTTTTTTCACATTAATTTCGAAATTAAACTGACAATTTACGCTTAATTTTCTTTTCTTTTAATAAAATATTGTTATCCTTTTAATATAATTAACTATTATTATATTAATACATGCTAATAGAAATTCTGGTCATTAAAATATTAGCATTATCTTTTTGTAATTAAATATTATATTAAATGGTTTACAGTGATAAACTTTTGAATATACCTGGTTCATCTTTTGACCCGTTAAATCCTAATTTATTACCTCCAAAATTATATCATTAAATTTTGAGTGGATAGAAAATAAAATTGAATCATGTTAGATGTAATAATGTCTTGGTTAGAGATTGTCATCATCAAAACTGTTTTATGATTTACGTATCTGAATTATTTATCTTTTTTAATTGTAGTTTGAAATATTTTTATTATAATAAATGAATCGATGTTTATCACATGGCATCTCCAAAATGTTTCTGATAATTACCAAGTTACTCTTAACTCATTAAATTTGAATCCTTTTTACATCCATTATTTTCGGTCATTTAATATACCACCAAAATTACAAATTTAAATCCTTTAAAATCAGTAAGGTAATGACGTATCGGCTAGACAATTATTGATGTGATTCCTAATTATACGGATAAATTTGAATGCCTCTTTAATCGATTTCCGTTTTAACTTGGTAAGTTCTTCAAATATTTTTGATCTTTAATCTTTATTGTTTTTTTTCACACGATGGATTTGGAATATGATATGCACCATGCAAACGATGGTGTTTATTATCAAGAGGATTATTATAGTGGCGGCTGAAGTACATCGACGATGATGATGATAATGTTGGGTATGTGTTTGTGGATTATGTAACGCCCCGATTCTCAGGTATTGATTTCTTACATAAGATTTTCTTGATTTCAAGGTCTACTCGACGAGTTGGTTGCCCTACTCGTCGAGTAGCAGCGGGTTGGTCCACGCGTTTTAGTGACCTACTCGCCGAGTCCAAAAAAGGACTCGACGAGTAGGAGCTGACAGATGAAACCCTAAATTCCGGGGTATTGCACCCTATTTAAAGGATCATTGGCCTCCCCCAGCGTCCCCTTTACAGCTCCTTGACACTCTTAAACCCTAAATCGCGTATGTGTATTTCTTTGGTGTGATAAAGCTTGGAAGAGGGACCTTGGTGAGGAAACACTTGCGGAAAACAAGTAAATTAAAGCAAGGAACTCGTGGGAATCAAAGATCTACTTCAGTTGGCACTCTCTTGAAGGTATTAGGTTGTTTCCTTGGCTCATTTTATCTTTAATCTCTTTTGGGTGGGTTTTAGGAAAGGTTCTTGTGTTTGAGCCAAGATCTGAAGTTGCAACTTCAGATCTGGACTCCCTTTGGCCTCTAGATCCATAAAGTTATCAGCTTTGATGCATGTGAGCCTTCCCTCAAGTGTGAGACTTCTTTACAAGCTTGGTGTTGTCATTTTAAGACTTTAGAGCTTTGCATGCACGTAAAGTTTGCAACTTTACGTGATAAACATGCCTTGGGAAGCTGGATCTACAATTTGGAGCCTTAGCATGGCTTGAAAAGCCTCTGTATGGATGAAGGACTGAAGGGACTCGGCGAGTCGCATGGTCGATTCGGCGAGTCCGATGAAGATTGTCGTGGGCTCGGCGAGTCAGATGAGTGACTCGGCGAGTCGGCTAGGGTTTTCCCAACCTTTGGACACATAGGAACTCGGCGAGTTATAGGGGAAACTCGACAAGTTGGCCAAGGAGTTTACGGTCACTGACACTAGGAACTCGACGAGTCACTCAAGTGACTCGGCGAGTTGGCGAGTTATGCAAGGAACTCGGCGAGTGGCTAGTTGTACTCGACGAGTTAAGGTCAACATGGACTGTTGACTTTGACAGTTGACTTTGACTCTGACCAAGGGTTGACTATTGGACTTCTGGGACATTTTGGGAAATTGGAAATTTACAAGCATGGTTCTATGGTGCGTTTAGGTGGTGGAGTTTGTACCGGCAATCCGAGAGCTTGAGTTTATCTTCGAGTCGACAGTGTGAGGTGAGTTATCCTCACTATACTCAAGGGTCTAAGGCACCAAGGCCGGCCCTTTGGATTGGTATCTGGTTTTGTTATGTTAGTATGATCTGTTAGATCGGTATCCCAAAGGGTAGGATGATATTATGTGATAGGTGGTATGACCTGATAGTTCGGAATCCTAGAGGGTAGGATAATATTATGTGGTATGTGGTATGGTCCGTTAGACCAGCTGTTGTCTATAGACTGCTATGTGATTATCTGTTATATGTGTACATGTTTGTTTGGCGGTTGAGGCTTATCTGCTTTGTGTGAAAGCCAATAGACCTGGGCATTCCAACATGTTGGTTGTGGGCCGTGAGTATTCCATCCCGAGGATGACTGGACTCATAGTATGTGGGCATTCCAACTTGTTGGTTGTGGTCCTGGAGTATTCCATCTCGAGGATGATTGGACTCATAGTATGTGGGCATTCCAACCTGTTGGTTGTGGGCATGGCGTATTCCATCCCGAGGATGATTGGACCCATAGTATGTTGGCATTCCAACTGGATGGTTGAGGGCCTGGGGTATTCCAACCCGATGGTTGACTGGACCCATAGTATGATGTTTATGGTTATATGTGTATTGTTGTGGGTATGGGTATTTTGGGGGAACTCACTAAGCTTTCGGGCATACAGTTTCAGTTTATTGTTTCAGGTACATCGGGGTATCGCGGCAAAGCGAAGGCATGATCGTACAGCTCCTCATGTTTTGTTTATGTTTCTGGGAAAACTCTGATATTATACATTTTGAAAACAAAGATGTAATGATTTTAATGGATTGAAATGTTTTTAAAAGTTCAAAATTGGCATGATTTTTATGGGTGTTACAAGTTGGTATCAGAGCCTTGGTTTGAGTGAATTGGAGGAACACTCGTGTAACTCCAGTCTCATTAGGTGCATTCCAACTTGTTGGTTGTGGTCCTGGAGTATTCCATCTCGAGGATGACTGGACTCATAGTATGTGGGCATTCCAACCTGTTGGTTGTGGGCATGGCGTATTCCATCCCGAGGATGATTGGACCCATAGTATGTTGACATTCCAACTGGATGGTTGAGGGCCTGGGGTATTCCAACCCGATGGTTGACTGGACCCATAGTATGATGTTTATGGTTATATGTGTATTGTTGTGGGTATGGGTATTTTGGGGGAACTCACTAAGCTTTCGGGCATACAGTTTCAGTTTATTCTTTCAGGTACATCGGGGTATCGCGGCAAAGCGAAGGCATGATCGTACAGCTCCTCATGTTTTGTTTATGTTTCTGGGAAAACTCTGATATTATACATTTTGAAAACAAAGATGTAATGATTTTAATGGATTGAAATGTTTTTAAAAGTTCAAAATTGGCATGATTTTTATGGGTGTTACAAGTTGGTATCAGAGCCTTGGTTTGAGTGAATTGGAGGAACACTCGTGTAACTCCAGTCTCAAATCAAGGAAAGGATTTTTTAAAATGATTTTTCAAAAGGTTTTCAAAATAAGTAAAGGAGGATGCAGGGTGTACGATCAGCCGAAGCCAGTAAGTTGACCCCAAAATACCATACAGTTATTTGATTATGTGATATGTTAGAACAGCATGCTAGTGCTAGGCTAGGGATCTTCAGGAATTGCATGATAGAATTGCCTGATTACATGATGCCTGGTAGCCTAGGGTTTCCCTTATATGAGATTGACATCATTACTGTAAATGCTTAGTGTATACATCACAGTCGTACATAACTAAGATCTTATTGCCTGAGAATGTTTGGTTTGGCCTTATTTCCTGTTCTTGTTTGATGAAGGGCTTAGGGTAGGATTAAGTATTCGAAAGTCTATAGGGTCCAACGTTATGTATGACTAGCATACACTAGTGCTGCAGGGTTGGTGGAAGTTTCATAGGTGGGTGGGTTGTGTGAGACCGGTAGGTCAGTTGTGAGACAGTTAGCATTCCTCTAGGAGTGAGGTTGGGCGACCACCATGGGCATGTATAGTGTTAGGGTGTTGTGGTGATACTTGAGACAAATATGGGTAGGTATGGAAGGTAGCATGGGCCCGTACTACTGAAAGCACAGGACCCATACGTGTAGCAAGGAAGTCACAACCCCTAGGGTTTAGTCGGGAGTTGGTTCCCGGTTATTTATGCGGATTGACTGATATCTTCCTGTTATATTTTCAGTATGGTGGTTACGAGGCGTTTCGTGACAGGATCCGGATCGGGATCAGGACAGGGTGATCAGGAGGCCCCAGCAGCACCTGAGGTTATCGGCCAGGAGGGGCCATTGTTGACAGAGGATCGAGTCAGGCAGATCATCCGCGAGGAGGTGGTCGAGATTGTCCGGGGTCAGATTTCGGAGTTGTTTGGGACTATCAAGTCCGCTATGATGGAGTACTTTGATGACAGATATGCAACCCTTACCGATACGGCTGTCGCTGCAGCTACCGCGGCTGTAACAGTGGCAGGAGGGGGAGTAGGCCGAGTTTTTTAGTACCAGGACTTCGATAACACGAAGCCCCCGACTTTTGATTGTACTCAGGATCCCATTGTAGCCATGAGGTGGCTGTCGGACGTGGAGGGGTGTTTCCTTACATGTTCATGTCCTACTGACCAGAAGGTCAGATTTGCACTGAACCTGCTGAGGTCCGGGGTAAAGGACTGGTGGAGATTGATGATTGGGTCGTATACGGATGACTAGAGAGCTGCTGTTACATGGGAGCAGTTCAGGGACATGTTCTGGGCTCGCTACATTCCTAGGGTCGAGCGTGAGCGGTTATCTCAGGAGTTCTGGGACCTGAAGCAGGGTACCGTAGGGGTGAGCAAACCCAAACCAAGAAACCGAGAAACCGACTAAAACCGACGAAACCGAAACCGAAAAAACCGAAACCGAAGCAAAACCGACGGTTAGGGTTTGAATTTTTTAAAAACCGAAAAGTCGGGTTCGGTTTCGGTTTTTACCCAAAAACCGACCCATCCAACCCGAGAAACCGACCCATACTTAAAACCGACAAACCGCCCCAAGAAACTGACTCATCCAACCCGAGAAACCGACTCATACTTTATTGTTTTTTGGTTATAATAGACTATTTCGGGATTTTGTTGTAACTTGTAATAGACTATTTGGTTGTAAGACTCATGTTTTTTGAAGTATTTAACTTCAATTTGGTGTTTTTGAAGTATTTAACTTCTTG